CTTTCCAATTTAACTAAGGTTTGTTTGCTTCAATAAATAAGGTCGGGATTTCTCCCCCAGTAATATATTTTCAAAGCCTTGCCACAGCGTATGCACCTCAAAGCTTGCTACAGTGCAAGCACCTCAAAGCCTTGCCACCGAGCAAGCACCTCAAAGCCTTNGGGCATCCAGGGAACAACTATCAACTAGTTTGAAAAGTTCTTCCATTTAGTAATGGAAGTCAGCCGGTGGTACTTTCTAAGGGTATGGTAGAGGCGCGTGAGAAGGTGGACAATCCTTCAGTGAAGACCTAACGAGCAAGTACCTCAAAGCCTTGCCACAGCGCAAGCACCTCAAAGCCTTGCCACAGCGCAAGCACTTCAAAGCCTTGCCACCGAGCAAGCACCTCAAAGCCTTGCCACAGCGCGAGCACCTCAGGTCTCGAGTTTCTTGTTCGTTTGACACCAAAAGCATCCATTGTCAATCCCGAGCACCTCGAGAAAATGCTCGAGCTACATACTCGAAACACTGAAACACCCCAAGGTAAATCCTCAGGAATGCGAAGCTGCAACATTCCTCGAGACTCGTAGCTCGACCTATCCTCGAGTTTATAACAATTATTCACAGCAATAAGGATGCTCGGGGTCGCTTCTTCACTCTTCTCGAGATGGGAACTTATTAATCACATTAATAACGTTGCTCAGTGTCGCTTTTTCACTCTCCTCGAGATGAGAACTTATTATTCACATTAATAAGGATGCTCGGGGTCGCTTCTTCACTCTCCTCGAGATGGGAACTTATTATTCACATTAATAAGGATGCTCGGGGTCGATTCTTCACTCTCCTCGGATTTATAACTATTATTCACAGCAGTAAGGTTGCTCGGGATCGCTTCTTCACTATCCTCGAGTTTGGAACTTTATTATTCAAAATAAGTTTGCTCGGGTTGAAGTTAACTATTCTTGAGTTCCTCACATTGTTATTCAAAATAAGCTTGCTCGGGTTGAAGTTAATTTCCTCGAGTTTCTAACATTGTTATTTACAATAAGTTTGCTTTGTTGCTCGAGATCATAATCAAATCGACGAAACAAAGAAACGAGCATGCATATACGAAAGAAAATTTGAAGTTGTCTGAGCCCGTCGTCGGGCTATACATAACGAGCAATAAAAAAAAATAGTAACAGCAGCTAGGCCTATTCCTGGTCGTCTTTCCCCGGGGGCATGGAGACCTCAACGTCTTCAGAAGCATCATCCTCCTCAACCGCCGTTCCTTCGGAAGATGATAGCTCGAGCCCGTCCGTGACCTCTGGTGCCGACGAAAGCTCATCGGCATTAAACTCGGGAAGCCTGGAACGAATGAAGGCCGAGCTTGTTTAAAAGCATAGTTGTATAACCCAAGAGCATACTCGCCCCTCATTGCTCGAAAGTCCCCTGACTCCTTGAAGTCCTCGACAGCCTTGGCACGAGCTTCCTGAAGTCGATCCTCGAACTCCTTCATCTTACGCTCAAGCTCAAGCCTGGCGTCCTCAGCTTTCTCTTTGGCCAGCGCCTCTTCTGCTCTAGCTCGCTTCAGGGACCCCTCGAGTTCGGCATTCTCATTTGCCCGGCGTGTGGTCTCAACCTCGAGCTCTACGATGTTTTGCACCCGCCTATCGAGCTCCTCCTCGAGCTTGGAAATTTTCTCGGCTTCCCTGTTTCCTCGATGTCCAAATGCCCGAGCTACAGTCAACGCCTTAGCACAATAAAAGTAATCAGTCATAGGGAATTTAACATGAAAAATTTACAAACACGGTTCTCGAGGATACCTTCAATACCAGGGTCTCGACCTCCCCCGTACCCTCGGCCAGGCTCATCTTCTCTCCTTTGTACTTCTCGAGGATCTCGGGAACAAGGATACATCTCTCGACTTCCATATCCGAGAATGGCCGCTGAGGGATCTCCTCATCGAGGTCGATGACAACAGGGGTGCCTCCAGGGGTGCGAGCGCTAGGAGTCATTGATGCTAGGACCTCGGCTGGAGGAACAGGGTGCTCATGCTCGACCCTAGAACTTTCGCCTTGCCCTCGCTTCGGATGGTCGATCGTATCATACCGAGGGCATTTTTTGCTTTTCTTCCCAGTTTGCTTCATCGGCGCAGCCTTAGGTTTTCTATCCACAGCTTGACGAAGATCAGAGGGGTCGAAAGCCATCTCGAGTATTGCACAAATGAGGAGACACAAGTCATTAGCCCGAGGACATAACATGCTGGACAATTAGAAAGGTTAAAGATGCTTGCTCCTACCCTTAACGCCTTTGACGTCGGCATAGTCGAGGATATCGTCCCCAAGTATATTGTCCATGCTATACGCTAGAGGCTCGAGCTCGACCAAGCACTACCTATCTCTCTCTAACGCCTCAAAATAAGCCTGGCCCTCGTTAAAACGCTCGGTGCTCGGTACAACCCATCGAGGACCAAATGGGTGGTCGGCATCCTGAGGTTTAATAAAGAAATATTTGGACTTCCACCCTTTCAACGAGCTCGGCATTTTTGGGACCTTGAACTCTCCTCGAGAGGAAAAGTACACAAAACAATTAAAGCCCGGGAGCGATTTCAACTCGAATGTCATCCTGAGCAAATCTAACCTCGGGACAATCGACAAGTACCTACATGCTACGAAAAAGTAGACGAGCATCCTCCACCCGTTAGGAACTAATTGCCCTGGACACATGTCATGCTCAGTCAGGAACTCGATGAAGAAGGGATGAAGAGGCCACCTAAGCCTCCCTTTAGGGCCTCCCTATAAACAGCTATCTTCCCCTCCCGAGCACTCACTACGCTATCCTCTGGATCAGGACGCTGCACTTCGCACAAAGGCATCGGTCCAAATTCACGAGCTACCCCTATGACCTCGTGCTCTTTATACCTACAGCAAAGTTCAAGATAGGAAAGAGCGGGGTGGCTATCTATAGGTATGGCATCTTGGACTAGGGTATGGCCTTCCTCAGTCAATGAGGCCGAGGCCGAGGAACCACTACTAGCAGACATACTTGAAAAGTAAAAACTTAAATTAACTAGAGGACAAGAGCTCTTACCTTAAGTCCTAACTTGAGGAGGTTTGAGGAGTGGTTGAAGGGTGAAAAACGCCAAATGAAGTGGGGCAGAGGGGTATTTATATGGGCTTAGGAATGCCAAGAGACTTTCAATCCTGGCCCTCCACGTGGCAACCATCCACCATGTCAAATCATTGCACCAATATTGAGGCCACGTGGCACACAAACGTGCACCTAGCTGGCTCCTCTTTCGATCGTCATTCAGACCCAGCAGATGATTAACTTTTCCCGACCAATGGCTTTGCAGCTCCATATCCAAACGCCGACCACTTATAAGCATTGTCTCTACAGTACTTGCTCATCTTTCAGACATGTGCATTGCATCCCTGATCCTCGAGTGTGAGGCTTGGACATGAATGCACGGGGGCCACTGATTATACCACTTTTGGTGCCCGACCCGAGCAGTAGAGCCCGAGGACTTTCGCATTATTTTGCCCCAACTTTGCTCGATCTCCTCGGGTAAAGTTGTTCGGCGTAGACGGATCTCGAGGTCCACGAACCATCCGCATGGGTGTCTTTTTCCGAGAATAACCCTCCCCCATGTGGAAATACCTTATCCAGGTCCTGGAGAATGAGAAACCCTACTGGTCACAAGTCGTATCCTAAACGAATTCTACAAGAAGAGTCCTACCTTCACCCAAACACCCAAGACATAACATATTAACTAAATAATGACTCCTAACGACACTAGGAGTGTAGGCCTCCTAGGACGCCAAGCGTTCTAGTCCTACTATTAGTCAACTACTTGC